GATTGTACTAGTTGAAGCCTTATTTCCTTTATCTCTAACTTCTTAGGGGGACTCAAACTCCCTCACACTTTCCCAGTGCACACTCACACTCACAGCACAGTGTTCCTCAAAAGGGCTGAAGAGGACAAGGAAGTGCACATTAGAGCCAAGATGCACATCAGAGAACAAATATCTGTGCCTCCTCTGCAGCACAGGCCAAGGACAGGGTATTATTTGTAATTCACCATCAACAGAAGACATCCACCAAAGTTTGAAAGAAGTGTCATTTGAAAAATTTATGCTTTAAATAAACATTCTAATAAATTTATAAAATCAATTTCCCAAATGGATGAGGCAGGTTAAAAATATAACAGGCACACAAATGTTTAAGTAAATTCTTGCCAGACCTTTATAGATCATTAGTGGGAAGGCAGTGTTTGGAGGTCGCCCACAGCCTCTGCACCATGAGTGGTGCCGTAGATGACCACACTAACCTGGGTTCTGTCCTGAAGGAATGACACTCGCTCAGGTAGGTAGACTGTGAGCCCAGTGGCAGTTTCTGTCTTCTCTCCTCATCCTTGGGCAATGGCAATTCAGGTGTCCTGAAAACCAACTGTGAGACTGGAAATCATGTGCAGAAGTTGTAGCAGAGAAGTGCTCTCCTGAAAGAGGAGGGAGCAGGGCACTCAAGGGAGACATTGGGCTGGAAAAGAGATAATTGGAACTGGGCCTTGATAAGTCCTATGAGCTAACCTAGTGCTGCATGGATCGTAGAGTTGGGAGGTGAGGGCTTTATTAACCCCTATCTCCCTGCATCTGGTCAATAACTGGGTGAGAAATTTTCCGGGGGATATGCATGACAATGCGTAAAGTGGCTTTCTTTGGCTGAGGGAGAATCTTAGAGAGAGAATCAGAAGGCAGCCTTTTGATAGTAGCATCTCCAGCAGGTGTGGAAATCAGTGTCCCAAGCCTGAAGAGTTCATTAGAGCATCCCCTTAATGGGTGCTCAGGGGCCCTAATCATTTCTCAGTGTCTGGTCAGGCACATTGGGGACAAGCCCACTGTTGTGTCTGATCTATTCCTGGCCTCGTGTGTGGTTGGCTAAGTCATCACAGCCATGGGTGAAAATCATCACTCTAGAAGCCAAATGATCATTTCACCATGAAGACAATACCAAGTCCTGTGGTAAGCAGCCACCCAAGAGTAAGAACCCACCACCCAACAGGGAACAAGAACATAGCAGAGCCTGATGTGCTCTCTCTCCGTCCTCAGTCCACCATGTTCTGGAGTGAGTGAGTGTGGCTGGAGTGACTGGAAGGCCACTCTTGGGTGACAGGGCATAAAAGAGTCTTCTCCATGTGATCCTCATCATGGCGGGGATGTGTTAAAGGGAAGCTGGTCATCTGCTCACCATAGAGACACCTTATAGAAACTAACAGAGTTGCTGTCGGTGTGCATTCACTTTCATCCTTTTTCCCTTCTCCACTCTGGTGCCCTGTAACTGTTTGCTTCATTTTTTTCCATCTTGTTCCCTCTTATATATAAACCCATTGTCAGGAAGGGACATCAAATTTACTGCCATTAAGCTGTAGGTAACTCCAAATTATTGTTTCCCTCCCCCTTGAAATATTTAGCTCCATACTGCAATCAGCTATAGCATCAGTGAGGCATTGGTCATATTCTTGGCAGTATAAGTCAGGGGCAGACAGAATTCCCAGGGAACATGGAAGAGACTGATAGTTGTTTGCCCGGTAGTCTGTGTTTCTCCTTTCTTCTAAGAGAAATTCAGTTTTATTTTGTGTAATCATGTACACTTCCAAGCCTTCTGGAAAGTTGGACAAGGCCAAATTGATATAAATAGCAATCACTGGGAGAAGAACAGAGGAGAGAATTTCAGATCTAGTCAACTCATCTGCGTTAGAAGACTTTACTTCTTGTTCAAAACCCCTTTACTTTCACCTTCCTCTGCTTTGGAACATGTAGATGATGACTAGAGAGTCAACAGACATTTTGGGCAATGACGCAATCTTGATGAGGAGAAATAAAAAAGAAAAAGGAACTTAGTACCTTGAAAACCCCAGGACTGCTATACTACCCCCAAATTCCTTAAATCAGATATTTGGGTTTTCTCTTGTTTACAGTTGAAACAAAACTTAATTGATACAGAAATTAATTCCTAGACATGGGATGCTGGCTATAAGAGAAGTTAAAATGTCAGTTTGGCTGAATGGAAGAGATTGGAAAGTCAATGCTAAGGATACAGTCCCTGCAGTCTAAAGACCTCTCTGCCCTTGTTAACGCAGTGGAGAAACATTTGGGAGTCTATACCTGAGAAGTCAGATGCCCACCCAAATTGAAGCATTAGAGAAATTGTAGAAAACTTAAAATTTCTGGTGTGCACTTGCCTCTTCTTGCTGTTCTCTGCAGAGTCCTACAAGAAAGAGAGACGCTCATAGCATCCCATACTATAAGCACAGAGAGAGAAAAATGCCAGTTTACTTAGGGAGCTGCCCTTGCTTACACCCTGCGATCTGGATTGAGCAGGAATCACATAATTTAAGCCTTGCACAGCTGAAAAGGTTAAATGTGTTTGTACCCCAAACTGAAGCAGTTATAAATAGTGGCTGTAAAATTGCTGCCTTTACAAGAGATAAGACTGGTCTCCTCTCAAGGGAAGTTACGAAGTCTGAGAAATATGAGATTAAAGGCATTACATTTCTATCTAAGATCTTTGTTTCACGTGAGTCAAGGAAGTGACTGTTAATTTGAGAAAACAAGACACAGCAAAGTATAAAGGTCAGTAAATAAAAGATGAGGCCCTTTCTGGTTAAAAGCTCTAGACGTGGCCTGTGATTAATTTTCATGTGACTGAGTAGAAGCAAAAAGACTGGAAGCTTGCTGAACTTGAGAGAACTGAAGTCATGATAGTAGAAAACCTAAACATGACAGTCAGCAACCCACAGCCTTTCTGCTTGAACAACAACTCCCCTCTGGAGCCCTGAAACTTCACCCACCACAGGTGGCCATGGGATGTGCAGTCCTCAGCAGCAGGGTGCAACACCATGGGGTGCCTAAGGCCACGGAACCTGAAAGACCAGGTGGGCTTCTTCCCCAGGTAAAACTGAGACTGTCTGCTAAGAAACCCATCCAACGCTCTGCTGAAACCCTCTGACAGGGTAGGAATCCTTGCTATTTTTTACCCAAAAGGATTTGATAATTTCTATGGATCATCTCTCTCATTCTCTGTTTTTCCAGGTGAAAGGTTTCAGTGTATTGGTATATTTTTATTATAATTACCCCATTTCTTCTCCTTCACCGTGCTTTGGTGCTTTGGTTGGTTTGGTGGAAAAAAATATGCTTCTGAGCGTACCTCATGGGACCACAGTTTAGAACACACAGTGTGGTGGTTAAGCTTGATGGTGCCAACCTGACCGGCAGGAGGACATCCAAGGTGATTTGTAAAGCACACTTTGGGGAGGAGTGTGGCTCACTCCAAATCACACCTTCCTCCACTTCTGTCCTCTCACTGCCTTCGAACATTACAACCTTTCTTTAAAGTTCTAGTATTTATATTGGGCCCACTGGATAATCTAAAATGATCTGCCATCTCATGATCCTTAAATTAATCCCAATGCTGGGCTGGAGATTTAGCTCAGTGCCGCCACCACCTGCTTTGAAAATGCAAGGTCCTGAGTTCAATCCCTGGCATTAAAAAAAACCCAAAATAACCCCCCCCCCCATAATGCCAAAGTCTCTTTGTCATACAAGGTGACATATTCACAAGTTCCAGAGATTAAGATGTGATTATCTTTGGGGAGTTATTGTTCAGCCTATGAATGCCAAAGCCAACTTCATATCCTTGTGGGTGTACTTATTAGTCTGTATTTCTCAGGTCCCTAAGTACCTCCATCTACAAACCTACAGTGTTTTCTGAATTTAATGCTTTTGTCCAGAGAGCTCTATTAAAATGAGTGTACTGCTTGCAGTGTTAATGCATATAGCTATCAGCTATGCTTCAGAATCCCTGTCATTCTCCAACTGTCTTGAAGAGCAAGAGGAACAGGCAAGTGCCCTGTTACATTTTACTAAGGGGAAGTTAATGAGAGAAATTGTGTTGCCAATGTGAGTAGAACTCAGGAAGAAAAAGAAGGGATTGAAGAGATGCATGGAATCAGAACTTCCCCTTTTCCAGAGTGTTTATGGGTAGTACCACTGCAAAGAACTACCATTAATTGAGTTTTCATTGTATTTTAATGTGGTAGATTTAATTAGTCCCAATTCTTCATACTCTCTTCCATTTGAATCTGTATCCTTGGTCATCCAACTTTACAGTTTCTCTCCTAAAGACAGAATATGTTTTCCATGTCATTGATTTTGGGCTCACCCTCATGTCTAGTTTGGCCAACACCACTTCACCAGATGAGAAAGAAGTAGTATCTTAATCTGATTGTTGTTTGAGTTGATCATCTTGTACTTCTGCCTCCGGAATAGAAGACTATTCCTGCCCAGCCCATGCGCTCAAGGAGGAGAAGCAAAACATGCCCCATGCTACCTGTGGCTTAGAGATGCCCCAGGAATTTGTGAACAGGGAGAAATGAATGTTTGCTATTTCATGCAGCTGAGACCTTTGAGATTATGAAGGTCAAATGTTTATGTTAGGAGCAATCCAGGGACTGCTCTCAGTGCTTTACACATACTCATTCATCTAAACCACATCTTATAAAGTATGCATTGTCATTCTTCTTGTTTTGCTGATGAGCAAACTGAAGCACTGAGCTATTAATAAACTTGCTCAAGTCGTGCACCTCATAAGGACTGAAGCTGCAACCTTCTCCTCTTTATGCCCCATTTTCAATCTGTACTAAAATATCAGGTTTTTAAACTTTTTTGCATGAATGTCAAATTGAAAACTCACAAGGCTAAGAATCTGGCAACCCAGATTTTGATGCTACTGCAATGGACACAAAATTATTCAAATATAAGCAAATATTTTATTTCCTATTCCATTACCCACTTTTTAGGGCATAATCTGGTAAGCAATTCAGCAGATAAACAAGGACAGCTGCCTACAAGTCAACCATGGTGCACCTCAGCTGACAGTGAGGGATGCCGTTTCAGAAGACTGACTGTGCTTGAGATTTTTATAAATAAGGACCCCTTTCCTCACTTCAAACTCCCAAAAATGTCTGAGTTGTGGAAATGGTTGGAAGTTGAGTCCGTCAGCTGGCAGAGGCCTGGAAGGTAAGCCAACATCTGCAGATGAAACTTAGGGAACCCAAAGGGTAAACCTGAACATGGGGTACTGAATGATGGAGTTTTCACGAGGCACAAAATTGAGAGAGACTAGAAGAACAGCCAAAGATGCTTCTATGTTTCTAGACAAAAAAAAAAAAAAAAAAGGAATCCAGAAAATCCACTAAGCTCCAAAACAAATTAATGATTTAAAAATTACTGTGAGTGAGAATTATGTAGGAATTTTAAAAATAGCTTTTGTGACAGGTGGTACCTGCTATCTTTTTCCCAGTAGGAAATGGTAATAAAAATACCTAAAACAAGCTGGTAGAGTGATTGTGGGAAGCACAAAGGGATCAGAGAGGGAGGAAGACTATTACTGCTGCTTAGTCTTGGACAATAGTCAGATGGTGGTGATGATGTGATGAGCTTTATTGAGCCTTATTGTGTGAAGTTCTTTATGGAATTTCCCTTACTTATTTTTTCCATCAGAACTCTGTATAGAACATGCCAATATTCTATCTTTTTTAGAGGTGAAGATTTGGAGACTTAGAGAAGAAAAATTATTCTCTGAAGGGACAAGGGTAGTCAGTGAGAGAATTAGTATTTGAATACAAGAAGTTGAACTTATTGATGTAATAAGCCAACAGATTCCTGAAAGAAATGAAATGATCATGGTATTTGAGAGCGAGAAATTGATGGTGATGCCCTGGAACTTGCACACTGGATGAAAGGGCCTGGGTGCTGCTGACTAAGGAGGAACCTGTGATGTGTGCAAAACAGGCAACGCATTGTATCCTTGACAGCCACATCTCCTTGACTATTGGAGAGAGTGCACTAGAAACCTCTTTCCTTTTCACCCTCCCATGTGATTCTACCCATCCAACAGAGACTCTGTCCTCCTCTTGTTTGTCTTCAGATGTATCCTCTCTGGGGCTGGAGCTGGCCATAGCAGACAGGGCAAGGGCCAGGGGAGCATTCTGCAGTCCAGCTGATAGAGCAGGGAATTCTTCCAGTCTGTGGGAAGTAGCAGGGTAACCCAGGAGCACCTCAGAAAAATACTCTGTAGGAAGTAGAAGAAGTAGGGATAAAAGTCAAATCTTTATACTCAGAAAATAAAGCCCATGCAAAGGTGGCTGGGGCCAAAGCTGAGAGGCAACTTGGGTAGCTGCCTTGAAGGCAGCTTTTGGTGTAATGCTGGCTTCTGTGAGTCTGGAGTGTACAATGGGTGACAACATTGGCTATGCATAAAGGGCCAGGCATGGGCTGGCACTTCTAGGACCAAGGCCAAAGCTTAAGCCATATGTTGCTTGATGAGGGTCAAACACTGGGTGTGCAGTTTGCCAGTCCCTGGGATCATAAGAGTCTCCTGAGATTTACAGTTCTGCTAGAGCATGTTCAACCACCAGTGCATTGGTTTGTAACCCACATGTCAGCAACAGTCTGTGTGGCTCCTGGCTTCTCACATACCCAGGGCCTACTCCCAGTTTTACCATCTCATCTTCTCTTTTTAGTTCCATTTCTTTCTTTTTCCCTGTCCTCTTCTCTTCCCTTCCCTTCTCTTCTTTGCTTGTCTCTTCTCTTCTTCCTCTTCTTCTTTTTCTTAACTCCTTTCTCTCTGTCTCTCCCCCCACCTTCCTTTACCTTTCCTTCTTCCTCTCCTTCTATCATCTTTTTTTTTAGTAGTACTGGTATTTAACCCAGTACCACTAAGCTATAGCCCCAAACCTTTTCCTTTCTTTGTTTACTTTGATATGGGTCTTGCTAAATTGCCCGGGCTGGACATGAACTTGCCTGCCTCAACCTCCCAGAGCACTGGGATTACAGGTGACTGCCACTTTAGTTCCATGTCTGTTGTCCTCCGTCACAGGCATGTTTTGTGTGCAGAAGGAAATCGTCCCTTGACAGTGGAGACTTTTGTAACAGGAATCAAATTTGACAGAATTCACTGCTGCACAAAGTGGTATTTTTTTGCTTGTTGTCTCAAGTAAATTCCTCACCCTGTTCTGCTCTGGCTTGTACTCTAAGAATCTGACCCATAAAAACTAAGTTTTCCAGACTCTCTTGATAATTTGTTAAGTCTAGACAATCAGAGCCACTGATAGGGTAAAAGGAAGGGAGATGCCAGGAACTTTCTTGCTCAACAGCTATGCCTTGGAAGTGTTTGGAGGTGACTGTCTCCTCTCGGCTCTAGCTCTCCTCACACCAGCCCTTGCCACAGCCCAGCTCCTCCAGGAGCTCCTGATGGGGCCTGGTTTCCACTGGGAAACTTTGACTCCTAAGCCCAAGTGACGGTACCTCATGCCTGGGTTTCTCCTGCCTAGGGACAGAACAGCCTCCTGTAATTGCTAAATCAATCTTTGGTTTGCCTCACAATGCCCTCTGAATCTTCAGCTCCCCTGCTATCTTTCTAACCATCTACCATACTAAGATCTCTCTATTAGCTCAAATTTACACACACACACACACACACACACACACAAACACACACACACACAGAAAATTCAAGGGGAGAAAGGAAAGGGAAAAGTGAGCATTTTCTTGGACATGGGAGAGACTTTGGAGCTGCCAGTTTGACCCCAGTGTGGCTGTAATCTGCTCCCAGTTAGGAGGCTGTGCAATCTGAATGTCCCCGAGTAATGTTCACACTGCCCTGAGCTCCTCATGGCCATAGAGCCCAGACCCACCATGACCCAGATTTCCAAAGCTGAGTTGGGTCTGGGTCACCTTCCTTTTATATAAGTGGCCCAGAAAAGCTTTGTTTTCAGGAAATTTTTCATTAAGATTCAAATACTGTCATAAAATATCTTCATCACAATAAAAATGCAAAGTACAAAGTTGCCGTTCTGCACCATATCACAGAGAGATGCAGAGACATTATTCAAATGTGTTCAGGACAATTGCTACACATGCACTTGCGGGCTGATGGCGACTTAAAAATAGCACATTCTATTAAAGGAGAAAAAAGAAAGAAGGACTCTTCGCTAACAAAATAAGTGACTGCTATCTCTCCCTTTTTTATATAGACACCAGCCCTCTCACCAGACCCTATGCAGAGTTGTGGTTTTCCAGGAAGCATTAGGGGCCAAGAGCACAGAGCTGTGGCATGAAGGGATCCAGGAAAAGGTGGAAGAAACAGCCAGGCAAGAAAGTACAAGTTCATGTCAGCACTCCAGCGCCCTGCTCACTCCTGCTCAAGTGAGCTGACCTGCTACTGCCAGAATGTTGCCTGGCTCCCTGAGTCACACAGAACATCTGAAGAGGCAGTGTGGCAAAGGAAGGTAACTGGAACATTGGCCAGAAGTTTGAGTTATCAATGATTTAATATTTTTCTAACTTAGGCATTTATATTACAAATGGGCAATTCAGACCCAAAAGAACCAAGTGACTTGCTCAAGTCCCTCATGAGGCAGGTGAACAAACACTTGAGATCCCAACCCAGTGTTCTTTCGACTCCCTTTCAGTACAGAGCTGAGTTGAGGGCAGGACAGGCCTCGGAGTTTGGATTTCAACTCTTCACCCCCATGTAGACAAGGTAAGAAGGCTTTCACCCTGGGGTACAGGTGGTGGAGTGCACAGAGTGAGACAGATGCTGAGAATCTGAACACCAGTCCCTCTACGCTAGTTCTAGATGATGAAGGGAGGAGTACATACCCTCTCTGAGCTTTGCTTCCTCATCAGAAAATTCCTCATTATACTTCAATGAGGCAACATGAAGAATGGTGGGAAATGTGACATGTTTACAGATGTTAGTACAAAGCTGAGATCAGCAAAGTCTTTCGGAAGGGGAAGATACTAGAGCTTTAGGTTTTTGAATCAAAAGTATTTTCTATTGCAGCTACATATTTCCATTATCATACAAAAGAGTGATTCAAAATACTTGATGAGCATGCCTGTGTTTCAGTGAAATGTTATCTGTAAAACGGGCCAATGATCAAAGTCAGCCTGCATAGCTAGCCCTGGATAAAGTCCTCCCACTTTGCTCAGTGGTCCTCCTGGAAAGGCCTCCTTATTTCCGTCATCACCTCCCTTCTTCCAGCTCAGGAGCTGATGACTCAGCCCAGGCCTTATTTCTGGAGAACCAGCTTTTTAAATCAAAACATAGCTCCTAGAGGGATTTAAGACATATAGACATCTGCACCAAGAGGAAAAAAAAGTAAAATCACATTTGTAATCAGAGTCCCAGCCATCTTCCTTATGAATATGTTTATGTCTACATTTAGATGCACAGATACTCACATCAAATGGCGTAGGAAAAGGAATATAGCTGTGGATTTCATTGAGGTTGCAGTGTAGGGCTAGAAATAAGCACAAACAACACTTTTACATCCCAGCTCTCACTTCTTAAATCATATTCACATTTATTTTCATTTATTGCTATAGGATGATGAGGGAATTTGGACATATAGAGGAGGAAACAGATGCTTGCCTACTGTTGTGAATATGGCTGGTATAGAACTTGGGATCTGCTTTACTTTGGATCTTGAATGTGCCCCAAAGGCTCATATGCTATAGGATTTGTCCCCTGGTGGCACCACTAAGAGTTGGAGGAACTTCTCAGAGGAGGAGCCCCATGGGAAATGTTTATACCACTGGGGGTGCATCCCGAAGGGAATATTAGAACTCCAGATCTTTACTAATTTCTCCCATTTGCAGCCTGGCCATAAAGGGAGTAGTTTTGTTCCACCACACACCTCTGCCATGCTATGCTGCCTCCCCACAGGCCCCAAACAACAGACCCAATAATGGAGTGGAGCCTCTGAAATGATGAGACAAAATAAATGATTTCTCTAAATAATTTAGTTATTTTAGGTTGTTGTAATAATGGAAAGCTGACCAACAGAGGATCAAACAAGTTCCGCTGCGATGTTTTAGGACCTCAGCTGAGCACTCTTTCCTCTGCCTGAGGAGACCCAGCCTGGCCTCAGCATGGCTTGTTATCATGCTGTTTTTTATCAACTTAGCACCTGAGCGGCATGGACACAGCCTTCTTTGAGGCTGTTGCCTTCATTTCCCCTGATTAAAATTATGTTGGTTAGAGCCAGATGAAGAGTGTTTTAAATGCTCTGGGACTGGTGGGGCGCACATAAATCATCTTCAAGAAGTACTAAAACTGGATGGTGCTGGATTGATCATTTCTTGGTCTATCCATAAGTTAATTATCCGTGAGTGAGCCAGAATTAAAACATTTCCCTCAGGCTACAAGCAAGAAGTTAGAAATGTCTATGAATCCTATTGAAATCTACAGCGAGGTCAGCAGCCTTGAAACAGAGTCACGCACCCACTGTGGGCTTTGTGGGACAAAGGAGGAGTCCTGGACACTGACCTCATCTTAGAATGAGGGTGACAGGCTTTATGTTGGGACTGGAACAACCAGATTAAAGGCTGATGAATATGCTTCAGATCACCAGACCCATTCCCACACTGCAGACTGCATTTCTATGTCTGGGCCACTTGACTTCCCTGTGAGCAAATACAACATAATCTTAACCCCAGAGGGAAAGCACAGAGTCACTTATAAAAGTATATTCCTGTTCCAAAGGGCTGAGGAATCACTGTGGGCCTCAAATGTAGCACTGGAGAAGTTCTGAGAGGACCCAATAGGTCCATCATCATAGCCATGCCTTGATTTTTGCCCCTCCATAGTCCTGCTGAATTTTAATTGCCATTGAATGCTTTTGAAAAGGTGAGCCCAATGGGAGCTGGAGGCAGAGACCTCATGAATGGTTAATGCCACTGTCACCATCAAGGCCACAGCCCCTCTCCTATCCTGCATGTACTCTTGTCCTCCAACCCTCTCTCCGCTGTGGGGGATCTTGCAGCAGAAAAGATCCAGCAGCAAGTTCAGGGGCCATACTCTTAGACTATCCATGCTGAGCTAGATAAACCTTTATGTGTATAAATGATCCAGTCTATAGCATTTTGTAATAGCAACAGAAAAAGAAGGAAAACACGCACCACTAACATAACATCCATTTTTGTGTTAAGCTGCACTCTGATGCCAGTCTCTGGTGTCTAACTGAAGCCAGGCTGACTTGAAGTTAAGGTCTAAACTGGGAATTATGCAGAAGGAAGGACAGGTTTAACTCAATTTATATAAAAATGTGGTCAGCAAGTATTTATTGGAATGAACTGAATTTGAGTATAAAGCTTGCCAAGCACTACTCATATTGAAAATTTTTTATGACTATGATTTTGTTCTATATTTACTATTTTACTTCAACTCTATAGTTTACATGTATTTAATCTTTGCTTGGAGAAGCAAGAGCTTTTGATTTAAAAGGCTGATGACATTTTAGTGTTTAGAAACACAGGGAATCAGCTAGACCTTGAAGACATGCTAAAGCCAGCTACCACCTTGTGGTATTGTTTCTCTGAAAAGTTGCTCCAAACAATTAATTTACAAATTACTTCTGTCTCAGAGACTCATTTTGAAACACTCATTTTTTTAAACATTGTTTTTATTTTCAATTGGGATATAAGCATACATATTTATGGCATACAGTATGATATTTCACTATATGTATATAATGACTAATAATCAAATCAGGGTAATTAGCATATTCATCACCTCCAATGGTCATCATATTTTTTGTTAGGAATATTCAAAGACCTCTCTTCTAGCTATTTTGCAATGTGAAATTAATTATAACAATAGCCACCCTAATGTGTTACAGAGCCTTAGACTATTCTTCCTATCCAGCTGTGATTGTATACCTATTAACCAACATCTTAACCCCTCTACACACCCACTGCAGCCTCTGGTAACCACTATTGTACTGTGTACATCTAAGAGCAAGTATTTTAGCTTCTGCATCTGACTGAGAACATACAGTATTTTTCTTTCTGTGTCTACTTTATTTAATTTATCATAATACCCTCTATATTTATCTATGAATTACCCTCTTTCTGCATTCAGAGGCTGTTTTTTTAAATTTGGATGAGCTGGTCTATGCACAGAGGGTGTGTGTGTGTGTGTGTGCGCGCGCGCGCGTGTGTGTGTTGCCTCCCAAACCCCTTTACTGGCCCACAGAATATTTGCGCTCTCAGAAGCCTGAAGCTCAAGTCATTGTTTTGTTTTTAAAAAGTCCTCCTACGAATATATTCACTTGTGTTCAATGCTCTCCATCCCCTATCAGATGAAAAATTGTTTATCAGAAATAAAATGGTTTCAGCAGCACCTTCTGCTCTCTGACATCATATTCCACAAAGAAATCTCCAATGCCACTCAAGAGCTTATCTCTACTGTGTGGAGTAAAGAGAATCACCGATGCTATATTTCTTTTCTATTTTATTTATTTATTTTCTTCTATATTTTAAAAAGCAGTGAAAAGAAGTAGGGGAGAAGTTATTCCCTGATTACAATCATAAGCAGAGGGATGGACACTCTGCAGCATCAGGGAAGTTAAGCTCAGTGCAGGGTTTCAGACCTGAGCCCTACAGCACCACTGAGGAGCTGGTCTCAAACAAAGGGCTGGGAAGCAGATTTTAACCCCACTCTTCTCAGAATGCAAATCTCTGTTTCTGGGAGGTAATTTGAAGAGGGGATTGTTAGAAAAACATGTGCTACTGAAAATAGGCCAAATCTCTAAAAATCATGAATAAACAGAGAAAGAAAGGAAGAAAAAGGAAATTCAGTCCCAAGGCAGATCAATGCCAGGATTAAAGTTGTCTTTGCTGCCCTCGTGGTCTCATCTTGGATGTGCAGAATAAATTTTGCTATGTCCTACTTTATCTCTAGGACAAGTCAGGAGCAGATGGGCTAAACTGCTTTTCCACACACAAATCCATAGAATACTAGAATATACAAACATCAGGCATCCTAGAATGTTACACTTCTTATATGGGGAAGGGGGAAGTTGTGCAATTTACAAAGGTTTCCCAGCTCAGATTGGGCAGAGGGACCTTGGAAGATCTGTACCTGGAACAAAATGATGTGATGATTTAAGCTGACTTGCTGAGAGAGAAGATGATTGTTTGTATGCTTGGGAAGCCAGAGGTAGGAAGAGGCTAAAACAAAATCAAGATTTCTCATCCATACAATTCACAGTACCTGCAGTGTAACAGAAAGTATTTGGAACTTGAAGTGAGAAGCCCAACAAACAAGTCCCAGCTGTACCACTAGAACATAATAGTTGTTTGACCTTGGAATGACATTACTACTTTCTGAAGCTCACTTTTTCCACTTACACACACAATGGAGCTAACAGTGTTCTAGTTACCCTCAAAGTATTTTATGATGATCAAATGAGAAAATTTATTTAAAATATTGTGAAAACTATAAATTGCAGTGCAAATAAAAAGTTCATATACACGTTAACACCATTTATAAGGGACTTAAGCAAGCCAGGTGTTAATAAAGGTACTAACTTCCAGTCTTTTGAAAAATGAATTCTGAATAAGATTATTATTAAGACTTGGCTAATATATAGGTAGCTGCTTTTGCTACAGAACAAACCTATTATTTTGGTCTATTCCTGTTCATTAGTTACATTCCATAGCATCCCTACTTGGATACTTAGCATACAAATTGACAAATGTACCATTGTTCTAATTTAATTAGATTTGGAACAATATTTTCAGCACATATTAACTTTCTAATTTGTGAACTTACATTTGGGGTTTTTTTTAACAAGTATGGGTGAATAATAAAAATACTTCATAGTTACATAGTGTTTCATAGTTTACCAAACACTTTTGTGTATTTTAACTCATTTTCTTCTCTCAAAAACTCCATGGAGCATATAAAACAATTATCACATCTACTTGACATATATATAATAAATCTAAAACATAGTGTAGGATTCCCAAAGTCACAGAGTATGTGACTAGAACCGGAGTGGAAACCTCTTCCCATTTTATATTGGTAAGTGTCCCAAGACCCTAACAACTCTTCCCTGACTGTCCCAGATCCCTGAAGGTGTTTCACCTACTTGTGGTCACTATAATTGGAGATTTGGGGAATTCAAGAAATTGCTGAGTCACTACCTCTCAAATAGTGCTAATAGATACCTCTCTTCTTGATGAAGGGAAGAGATTGTGAAAGTGGAGTTCACACCCTGGAATTCTAGCTCTATCTATCTAGACAAATGTTTCATCCCAAACGGTCCTCCAATACCAGGACAAGAAGTTACCACTTTGGTGACATCAAAATTCCTTCCCTAAAGTCAAGACCACCTTACACTTGTTTATGGCAATTTATTTTTTCTGGATGGTTGCATAGCCAAGACAAAGAAATAAGTCAGAGCGGGGAGGGTGGGAAAAGGAATTCATGGAGAGGGTGAAAATGATTAGTATGTCATGTGTATGTATGAATCTGCCCAAATGAAACCCATTAGTTTGTAAAACCAATATGCACTAAAAAAAAAAAGATGTGGAAAAAGTGAGAAAAAGAAACTGAAAGGACTGAGTCTTTTATTACCTATTCTTGGAGTGGATGCACCACTGTTTCTCTTATGTTCTAACAGATTCACAGAACACCCTTGGTACAACATGGAAGATATGACAAGGGCGTGGCTACCAAGACACACGATTATGGGATCATTGCAGAGTCTCTGATACCACATGTAGGATGAAGATACAGGGTTCAATCGGGCGTGGTGGCGCATGCCTATAATCCCAGCACTAGAGAGGCTGAGGCAGGAGGATTACTGTGAGTTTGAGGCCAGCCTGAGCTACATAGTGAGTTCAGGACTAGCCTGAACAACAAAGGGAGACCCTGCCTCAAAAAAAAAAAAAAAAAGAAAAGAAAAAGAAAGAAAGTTGCAGAGTTCATAGGTATCACTCCTACCACAACAGGGTAAATGCTGTTAGAGGAGGAGTGATGGTTGTCTCTGAATCCCAAGAATGCAGCAAGATTTCAGCCCTTCTTCTGCCAAGATAGCAAAAAATCATAAGTGAAAATGTCTATGAATCAGATCTCACACCCACTGGGAAGAGGGGAGACATTTACCATAGGTGTAAGTACACAATCTTGTGAGGCAGGTGGTCCTGTACCATCTCACATCTGTG